ACTTGTCCCTCCCGCAAAGAGTGAGACCGTGGACTCGAAGTCTGCGAACTGGGAGAGACAACTGTATAGTTTTATTGTGTTAATCTATGGAAGGAAAAGACACAAACATTTCTACTTACCACCCGTTTGTCCATGTCCGCCCCATATTGACCCTGGAGACAAGCCACAAGTCTCTTGTGCACATTGTGTGCTGCACGCTTGGCTGGCTCAATTCTCTGTTCAATCTATCGAAGGCGAGGGATGGATGGGAGGACAAAGAAGAAATAGTTAAGCACAAGAAAACAGTAATTTGTTTTTGTTTTATATGTGTGGGTTTTTTTTTTTACATGCAGAGGAAAGTGGACCCTGGTTAGGGTGACCTGACCAGATGCCATAACTGCAAAGGAAGGCAAAGCACCACAAAACGTAGGACATTACAAAACTGAAGCTAAAAAAACCCCGTAATATAAATATAAATTAATTTCATACATTTTATTTGAAGCTATATTACATAGACTTCAGTTTATTATTTACTCAGCCATATTTTTCTGATGAACTTAGCTTCGTTCAAATGCCTTGTTGCAGGGGTAGGCAACCTTTCCCCTTTAAGGGACAAGGGACTTCAGCTCCCAGAAGCCTCAGCTATGTTGGCCAATAGTCCCATGTTGGCCAATAGCTCTTGGGATTCTGGGAGCTGAAGTCCCTTGGCCCTTAAAGGGGAAAGGTTGCCTACCCCTGCCTTGTTGGCTTGCAATATGCTTATGAAACTCTGAGCAAGGCAAATACTTAAAATTGTACTTTACTTGACTGAATCTACATTTAAATCATCTTTTTTATTTGTCCATTGTGCTGAAATTGAGGGGAAAAATATAAATTTTCAGCATTTGGATTGTGTCCCCAAGCAGCCCATTGCCTAATATTATGTTTGCTGTCCTTTTTCTCTCCAAGAAACAAATGCACCCTGAACTCGGGGGGCAAATCTTGTCTTTAGCTTCTGCTTCTGGGGAAAAAAAGAACTTTGGAAGTATCCAGTCTATCCTCCTATTTTCAGTGGAAATAGATATATTTCTCAAAGGAGAACAGCAAGTGGTGTTACTTAGTGGGCTTTTTAGTCATGCTCAAAATAGAGGACATTTTGGAATTCCTCCTGGACAGAAGGTAGAAATGTAGGACGTGTCCTGGAAAAGGAGGGCGTCTGGTGACCCTGACCCTGGAGGAACAGTGTTTTAGACGCAGGAGAGGTATTTTTTTTCCTGCTAGGAAGTAAACTGGAGTTCATCTTGGACTTTACTAAGGTTTTTTTTTAAAAAAGACTTTCCTGCATTTAAAACAAATCAGGACCCACACCAAATAAATAAATAAATACATTTTAAATAGCAGCAACATCTTCCTATTAATATTCTTTTGCAGTCCCCCCCCCTCCCACTTTCAAAGAACTTCTGTACTGTTGCAAAATGACATGTTTAATTTATATTCCCACCTTCCATAAGATCATTTTGCAAAATCTGGCAACAGGAACAGGCTTTTCCACTTTAAAAAACTAAACAAGGCACTTGAAGAATGTAACCCCATATTTGAAAACATATGGGCTATGTTATATACTGTTCACAGGGAGGTCTTGGAAAAGTTACTTTGTTGTACTATAGCTCCTAGAATGTGCCCATTAGGCATAGCCAATGCTGGTTGGGGAGGTTCTGGGATCTGTAGTCGAAAAAAGTAACTAGCCGAAAGTCTGTTTACAGGTGTGTTATGTTGTGTTCACATAGTTTCCTTTTGTACATAAACTCTTGTACATGGGAGGGTTCCAAGCGGAAGACAATGACATCAGTCCACAGTGTAAATTCTCCAGTAAAATTCCACGAATGAGGCAGGGCAACTGCAAGATTAAAATTTAATCTGAAAGTACCTAGTGCCTAGGGTTGGCAGAATGAAAACCGGAGAGGGCTCCTGTACTCTTAAAGGTTGTGTAAGAAAGATGTTGCTTGTTACCTGACTGTGAATTCCAACTGGTGTTACCTAGTTGAGTGAGAAGCAATATCTGCCAAAATTCTCTCTCTTACGCAGCCATTCCAAGGAACCGTCTCCAGTTTTCACTGTGGCAACCCTAGAAACTAGGTGCTTCCAGATAAAGTTTCAGTCTTGCAATTGCCCTACCTCATTCATGGAATTTTATTGGAGAGGGTGTGTGGACTGATGTCATTGCCTTCCACTTGGAACCCTTCCATGTTTTTCCAATGATTCTTCCATTAAGGAGGAAACCCTGGAGAATTTCTCAATGCCTGCGGATCAGAGTTGACCCGAGTTATTTTTCTGCCAGCAAATGTGCCCCCCTCCACACACATCAGTGTTAAGAAGCACAGTGCTTCAGGCCAGTCAAGTTATTTGGCACCTCAGGTAGAAGAATCCTACATTTATCTCTCCTAGTCCCACAGTGGGAATAAAAATACAAGAATAGCAAATTGCACAATTAATAATCTGTTCCTCTTTCATAACAGCCCACATCTGCTGTTTGAGGAACCCCCTCACCACACCGATGAAGGGCTAGTCCTGTTTTTAATTGTCAGTGCAAGATGCCCATCTGCAAATATCACCAAAGCTACATATGCAGAATATGCATGCACACAGAATATATTCAATTCCTTCACAGAAAGCCAAAGCTGAAACTTCCTGAGGAGTAATCTCATGGCAAGTTAAAGTAGAGATTAGCAAATTTAGTTTAGCATAAACCTTTGAGGAGTGCAGCCCAGTTCTTCAAATGTATGAAAAGGAAACTTAAGAGCCCTATGACACCACATTGTTATAGTGCTATATTCCACATTAACCGCCATGGGACCTTATCCCACGCTGCTCTCAAAAGTGGCAAGAAAGTGATATGAGCATCATTGCAGTACTATAGCGCTAGTATAAATATGGCGCTAGCGCTATAATAGCGCTATGGATAAGCTAGCGCTATTGCAATACCCGCTGAAACCGACATTCAAAAGAACCCGAATGATGCTGCATTCCGAGCGGTTTCTTGTTGGATTCTGAGCGACGTCATGTAATCACCCGGAAAACTATAGCGCTATAGCGCCTGATTCTTAGCGGATTCTGAGCGACGTCGTGTAATCACCCGGAAAACTATAGCGCTATAGCACCTGATTCTTAGCCGATTCTGAGTGACGTCGTGTGATCACCCTGGAATGTATAGCGCTATAGCGCCTGATTCTTAGTGGATTCTTGCTGCTTTTGGCCCCGTGGGATAAGGTCCATGGCAACATCCTATGGAATTTGTAGTTTAGTGAAGCCCAAGAGCTCTCAGGCTGAGAATTCTAAACTACAAATTCCAGGATTCTATATGAAGTTGCCATGACAGTAAAAGTGGAAAATAGTGCTATAACAGTGTTGTGTGATAGGGCCCTAAGTGTGCAAGAAAACCATGTACTTGATCTATGGAGCAAGGCCTAACATCTGCTAGTGCCAACAGCCCCGTCTCCTTTTCTAATAATCCTCATTTTAAAAATCTTAATTCCAGAAGGAAAAAGCCCAGACATGAGCTTCAGATTAAAACATTGGTGGCAGCCATTGGAGAGTACGTGCAGCATGTCAAATTGAAGGGATGCAATGGATGCTATCCTAGATATTTAATCTCAAAGTCTTACCGTATATGTGGGCTTTGCCTCTAGATTGCTGACCTGAGTCTAGAGTCAGAGAGAAGCACAGTTCTGGAAAGGCAGTGCAGGATGGACTCTATGCCATAGTTGGGCCAGAATCTGGGAAAGTTTTTGATTTAGACAACTACTGGAATCCTCCAGCTAGCATGGACACTAGCCATCCCAGCTGGAGAAATTCTAGAAATTATAGTTCAAAAAAAGGACCTTTCAAAACTCAGCTTCTCTTCAGATGTCTGGTTAAGGGAATAACATTGGAGATTATTCCATAGGGAAGAAGGAGAAGGACGGGAGCAAAGCGGATCACTCCCATCTTTATCCTGCCCTTATCATGCAATCGCCCGAAGATTGTCATATGACATCATGCCTATCTGATCATTATCCTGTCAATGAAGTTGAATTGTCCCATCAGTTTTTATTAACAGAAACTTCCGTTAATGAAAAATGACAGGACAATTCAATTTCATGGACAGTATAATGACGGGATAAGCACAATGTCATATGATAATCTTCAGGCGATCGCATGATATGGATGGGAGAGACCTGTTCTTTTCCCCATGTGATAATATCTATTGTCTCAGACACAGAATTTATTTTTTAGAAGAAAAGCAGCAGTGGTGTTAGCAGTAGAGTAGTGGTTGTTGTTGTTGTTGTTGGTAGTGTATTGGGACTGTATACTGAGTATACTGGGACTCAAGGAGGTTATGAAATATTAAAACCAATTGTTGCCATTGTAATATGACTTCATGTTGTTTCCAACTTATTGCAACTCTAAGATGAACCTATTATAGGGTTTTCTTGGCAAGATTTGTCCAGAGTGGAGTTTGACCTTGCCTTCCTTTGAGACTGAGAGAACATGACTTGCCCAATGTCACCCAGTGGGTTCCCGTGGCCAAGTGAGGATTCAAGCCCTGATTTCCTGGAGTTCCAGCCCAGCACTACCATCCTGGGTCAATATTAAAACCAATACAAATTAAAACGCATACAAAAAACCAATGAGACTGATTCAGTGAGATGAAGTTGTTCTTTTCT